GAGCAAGGTAAACATTGTGCTGATATTGAAACCTGTCAGAATGAGGACGCAATAAACCCCTGGATTGAATTCCCTTTGTGCAGCGCTGCTTGCGGGCTGTAGCTGAACAGAGGCTGAACAGTGCCCTGGGGAGAGAGCGGCATTGTGTGGGCAGACGCGAACACGGCCAGTCCCGAGATGGGAAAGGGGCCTTCCATCTTGAATAAATACAACCGCAGAAAGAGACCAAGGGGAGGGTTTCCTTGCAAAGGTGGCTCTGCTCCTCCTGGGAGCACGGTTGTTGCAAGCCTGGGTCTGCAGAGCGCTGCTTGACCCACCCGAAGGTGTCAGTGACAGCAGGACGTAAGATGAGGAGACAAGCTAGGAACCGGAGCAGAGGCACCGCCACCCTGTCCCCTCTGGTGCAGAGCACCTCGGAGCTCAGGTCAGCCGAGGGGAACTAGGGGGTGGGGCGTGGCGGGAGAAGCACGCATGCCCCGACGTGGAAGTGTGCACGCTGGCTGGGGACAAGAGGAGGAAGGATGGCACGAGCACGTGGCAAGGAGGAGGCCAGGCCTCTTCTCTCACACGGCCCTGCGGTGGTTAGCCTTCCGTTCACAAAAGGTCCGCCCGTGTAGAGGCGGACCTGTGCAGTGTCACCGAGGCAAAGGGGGCCTGCTCCCAGCCAGCCAAGGGGGGATGCGGTCTGACCACGTCAGCCAGGGGCCCAGAGCGTGGGCACCAAGACCCTGGGTGCCTGATGATGTTTTCTTCACCCTCTCTCTCTCCTACCCTCTCCTCCTCTGTCTCTCCGCCCTGTCTCTCTCCCCCACCTCTCCCCAGCGCCGCCCCCGCTCAGGCCGAATGCTCTGTCCTCCACGATTTCGATGACGAAGGGGGTCCCTCACTCTGACACTCTGGAATTCCCATCAGGCCTCGAAGAGCCAGCTCATGCATCGGCTGTTCACGGCCTCCCTCTGACACCCCGACCTGCAGACTCCGCTGCAAGGAACGTGCCTGGCACCGCCCAGTCTTCACTGTTCCGGCTGACCCTTGGACAGTGCGGGGGTGCTGTCAACAGTCTACATACAGCTTCTGACTCCCCCAAACCTAGCTGTCTCTAGGTATCTGAGGGGAACTGGTTCCAGAACACCATGTGGATTCCAAAATCCGCGGGTGCTCAAGTCCCTTCTGTGAAACGGCATAGATTAGTGCGTGCAGTTGGCCCTCCACGTCCGCGGCCTCCCAGCCTCGGGTGGGAAGGAGTGGAAAACAGGTGTCTGCTTTTAAAAACCCACATGTAAGCGGACCCCATAGTCCGCACCCACGTTGTTCAAGGGTCCACTCAGTCATCTTTCCATGTGTTTCTATTTGGTCACCCTGACTAGGCTGGAAGTCGTTGGGACCCAAGGGGCCTTCTCTGTGGACGTCGTTGCCCCCCACCCCGGGGTGTGCGGCCCCCGGCACACGGGGCAGGAACCGTGCAGATGGCGCACCATTCACCGAGTTCCGTGTGCTCTGCCCGAGCACTCTGCGTGGATTAGTGAATGATCCCACGGTGATGGGACAGGTGCGATCATTGTCCCTGGTTTACAGGAGGAAGACCTGAGGCATAAGAGGTTAGAAACTCCCAGGATCACACAACTGGCGGATGGGGGACGCAGACCCAAGCTCCCTAGGGCTGTGCCCAGGGCGCGAGCTCGCTGGCCGAGGGTGGGGGTGACGGAGGCAGGGAGGGGACGGGGTACCAATGGGAGGGAGAACAATGATTGGAAATATCCACAATAAAACATGGATGATACTATCCCATCCCTGGAAACTTACATGAATTTACATTCATTAAAAGATACATGAAAAAATGGTTTCTAAAACACTAACAGGCAGTTCACTATCTCAGGAGAGAGGGGTTCCGAGTGACTTTTACTTTCTTTTCCATATTTGTAGGTATTGCGTGGTTCCTCGAGGACTCTGTGCGTCTGCTGCCTGTGGCAGAAACATAAACGGTGAAGTCAACTTCATTATGGGGTAAAAAGTAAAACAAAACAAAATAAAAAGAGGAAAGAGGGGGCAAGGGAAGAGCCATCAGATGTTTCATAGATGGGTGTGGGGCCGTCCTGTGTTGCAGAAAGATCGGTGATCGGTGAGGGCGCGGGAGATGAGACAGGGAAACAGACCACCGTGCTGCGTGACAACGATGGTGCCCACCGCCCACCGCCCACCGCGGGGCCCAGGGAGGTGGAGCTCCAGTCACCCTCCAGGGTGGCGCCACTCAGCACGGCCGACAGCCGTCGGCTGGTGGACGGGTGAGCAGATTGTGACGAACCCCTCCCATGCAGTGCCGTTCAGCCGACGAACAGGAACGGCGCACCGGCTCGCGCTACAACACGGATGAACCTTGCTCTAAGCCAAAGACACCAGACTCAAAAGGTCACACACAGTGGATGACTCCATTGACACGGAGTCCCCAAATTAGGTAAATCCACAGAGGCCGGACGCAGGTGGGTGGCCGGCAGGAACCGGGGGTGGAGGAACGGAGAACAATGACCGAACGGGGATGGGGTTTCCTTTCAGGTAGATGAATGCATCTTAGGACTTGATAGACGGGGTGGTTGCAGAATAGTGGGAATGTACTAAATGCCACTGCACTGGACACCTAAATGGTTACATGTACATTATAGGGATTCTTAAAAGGCCATTTAGCCTTTTAATCTGAAGTCTTGAGAAAAACGGAAAATCGAGTGAGAAGGAAGAAAGAAAAGCCCAGCGAACGCGGGGGGGAGGACCCCGTAGGTAAGCTGTGGCCCAAGACTGAGGGAGAGAAGGCCCGTGCTCGCCTGGGGTGGCTGAACCCCGATCCTCAGTGACAGAGACTTCCAAAGACGGAGCCGCTGTCCCCAGGGGCCATGCGTGTCCGCCTTTCACCTACGACACCTGCAGTTTGACTTTCAGGAACCGAGACGACGGGGCCATCAACTGTCTGGCTGGGAAAAGTTCCAGCTGCAACACTAAGCAGAAATAGCAAGAAAGGCCGAAGCCGAGTACTCGGACCCTTCCCGACTGATGCAGACCCTGTGGGAGCCCGCCCCAGCACCAGCCACACCCGTTGGCGGCGGCCTGCTGCCTGGCTGCCTCCCTGCAGAGGGGGAGCTGCCCTTGGGCAGGGCCCGGGCCTGGAGCACGTGTCCCGGCCTGAATCATGGCCCCTGGCCCCAAACAGGCGGCTGCAAACCCATGTGTTGCAGACATGCATGCCCTCTATGTTATCAACGGATCTGTATTTTCAATAGATAAAACACAGATATGGTACACATTTCAAAAGGCTTCAAGGGAGAGCTGGCGATAAATTCCCCATCCCCTACCCCTCTACTCCAGCACCTTCCGGGGAACCTCTGGCAATGTCGCCACTGTCTTCAGTGGAACTCGTGCTGAGGAGCTCTGACTCGCAGAGGCCCCGACAACCACCCAGACCACCTGGGGACTCGGGCGTCAGGTCATCAGCACAAGATGGAAGCTAAATGGGGCATCGAGAGATGAAAGTCATCTGGGTGAAAACAAGGTCCCAGCCCTTCGTGCCAGGAGGAAGCGGCTGCCAGGGAGCGGCTGGCCGGCCGAGGAATGCTGCTAAGGTGACAGCCGTCCCCCTGGAGTCATTCATGGCATGACGAGAAGTCCGTGGGCGGGGGTCATCTGGCCCGTGGCCAAGTCAGCCACCGCAGGCTGCTCACACCGGTGTCAGGCGCAGGCCCGCTGTGAGCCGGGGAGAGGCCGGGCTGCTGCAGGGTGGGACGGGAGCAGACCCGTAAACCACACTCAGCCCGGGGCCCAGCGCGGGGTTTGGTGGTTCGTCTGGAGGGGAGAGGCTCCCCTTCAGTGAACTCCACCACGGGCCGGGTGGCACCGTTCCCGCAGATGGGCTCTGTGGCGGACAGAGGGGACAGGAGCCAGGCTGGCCGGGAGGCGAGGGTCCCAGGAAACCAAAGCACCCGCAGGGGCGACAAATCTAGGCCAATCCCAAGCCCGGGCAGAGTCCCAGCAGGCGGGGGGTGCACCGGGTGTGACAGGGACATCAGGATGTATTGCCTTCTCTCGCCGGACTGTGAGGGGCTTTTTTTGAAGAGTGAGTAACCGCTGCCCTGCACAGTCACCGAACCGAAGACTAAAAAAAGATCGGAGCTGCGCAGGCTCTTCTGCTGCCGAGGCTCCTGCCCAGCGTGGCGCTGCACCCATGGGCGGGCGGGCGGGCGGGGGGTGAGTCGACGCTTATCTGATTTCAGCCGGTCTGTCCCTGCGTGTCACTCCCTGTCCTCCTGCCCAGGGGCTGTTGCAACGCGTGTAAATTTAGAAAAAGAAGGATTAATAACACGGAACAGCGCGTTTAATAAAACGGGCTGTTTTCTTTCTTTCTTTTTGCTGAAAGAGAGGCAGGGGATCCTGTTACGTGCTGAGCCCCCACCACGGTGGAGTCGGGTGTTCCGGGCAGCAAGTCAACCCTGCGTGGCCGTGGCCCCAGACGAAAGAACGCGCTGCTTCTGACACTCAGAAATCGTAGTCAACCCCCGCCGCCCCGCCCCCCCCCAGGTCCCCCGTCCCCCAGCTGAAAGGTTTCTCGGGAACCGAGGGGAGGAGAGGCCAGCACCTTGCCCTCAATCTGCACTCGCCTGGGGACTCCTAGGAACGGCCAGCGGCCCCCCAGGAAGGCGCTGTTTACATGAAAGCCCGCACGTGCCGCTTCGGCAGGAGCTACGTCTTGATACGTCAGATGAAATGCAACCTATTTTATCAGGGAGTTGGTATCACAGGTGGAAGATTTTGCATCATGGTGGAAGTTACACTGAAAGAGGAACTGCTGGAGGAATGCTTGCCTTCCCGCGCACACACACTCACGGCCGGTTGGCGTGTGGGCCCCTGGCAGGAAGTAACCGCCGGTGAATTCCACCGCCTAACCGCTCAGCCCCGTGTCCCGTTCACAGAGCAGGAGGCCGGAGCTGAGCCTGGAAGGCATCCCGACTCGAGGGCCATACCTCCGACAGCATCTCATACTGGCCCCTTCTGCCCAGGGCGATGGTCAGCAGGTCATAGACCACGGAGGCGCTCTGCAGGCTGATGAGGCGGTCGCTCCTGTGCTCGGGGATCCTGCTCAGCACAGCGTCCCGGTTGGCCTGGAAACAGCACGGAAGAGACAAGCAGATGGTGAGCCAGCCCGCGCACGCCGCCGCCACCTTGTGCAGAGAAGCAGTCTAGGAGGCCCTCCTGCCCCTACCGGCCCGCAGAGGGTTTGGAGGCAGGGGCGGGGATGAGTAAGAGGCCTGTCACCTCTGGTGGTTTGTTCAACATCCCCAGAGCACCACGGCACGTGGTACCTGGTGTTCTCCAGACAGTGGAGGCCTGCAGGCGTGATCCTGCAGACACGTGCACCTGTGGGCAGGTGTGGGCAGGAGGGTGCAAGTGCGCACAGCGGGGTGAGTTCCCCTGGGCTCAGGCTCCCAGGTGGCCTCAGGGAAGGCACCGCTGTGCTCTGGCCGCAGAACCCTCCGTCAGCTCAGGCCCTGCCGCTCCTCACGTGCTGGTCCCGCTTCTGCTCTACGTGAGACGGTGGGAGAGCACTCCCCGCCCCACGCTTCCCGTCACCAGATGGTGTCATTGGGTTCCCTCGGTCCTACAGAGAGACATGCCACACTTTTCCCCCACCACCAAAGCAGCATTCAAATCCCTACATGACATCTTCACTGGCACAGACCACAAAGACGGATCGATCTTGTTTAGGGAAGCACAACGCAGATGTACGAGAGACAGCAGGGAGCAAACAGATGTTTGCTTTAAAGACATCGCCACGGAGGACTCAAGAGAACACCTTGTCTGCTTCACATCTCCGCTGCTTAGCGGAGAAATACAGCAGGCACACCCGGCTTATGAGTCTCGCCGATCTGGAAACCACAGTGCCGTTTCTCCGCAGGTTCCTCCAGACAAAACGCACGCATTAGAGACTCTAAACACCAGCTCATTTTCCTTCTCTCCCCGATCGGGAATTCAGAACCAGCACAGTCACATTTCGCCTGTCTTTTTTTTCCCCTGCTCATTAACCCAAGTCTCCAGATCCATCCGTCCCCGGGTGTGCTACGCACACCCTTCCCTCTCACTAACGAGCTGAAACGCTTTCTTTCCTCGAGTCCGAGGCACTTGCTTTTAGCCACCACCCATCGGTGCATGCTCGCGTTAAGACTCCTTGTTCTTAAATGTCAGAAGACAAATAAGAATGTACAAGACAGGCCACTTCCTACAAAGTGAGTCATCTCTCAAGGAAATAAGCCTGCTTTTGAAGATTTCATTCTAAGTTTCTCTTGTTGGGAGTGGCTTTTAAGCCAACACAAGGAGCTCGGAGGGAAGCAGGGATTGCTGTGAGTGCTCTCCTTTTACTTATTTGCTGTAAATGTTCCATGCTGAGACCGATGCCTAGAAGAGAAGTATACAGAACAAAATAGTATTTAAAAGAAATGTTCAAGTTATGCCGAACGTATTTCTTTTAACGTTTAGAGAAAGTCTATGGGAATCTTCTGATTAAAAAGGTTCCTTGGAGCACCTCAAACGGATCCACAAATAATAAACGTCCCAGAGCACAGTGCCAGTGCTGGCTGTGCAAATGGGGTTTTGTGAATGCCTTTATCCCAGCGAAGCCTCGTGTGACTTGAGAAGGCAGGACAACTCCCAATGAGCTCTCGTAGGTGGAGAGACTGGACACATTCACACTCCTAAGTTAACACCAGAACCAACAAAGAGCGGTTCTCCCAAACACCAGCTGGGCATCTCCTTCCTCTGTCTGAAAACGGAAAAATCAATCACTGAGTCAAGGAACAGGAGTAAAGGCTTTCGGAGGCAGCCTAACGCAGGTTTCCGCCCACACGATCAGGGGGCGGTTTACGGACCGAGCACACTCATGCTGGTGGGAAGCTCGTCCCTCCCACTGACTGATGTCACTGGACTTCACCAGCCCGTGCGAGGTTCTGCTGGAAACTAAATGCCACAGATGGGCCGAGTCTGCCCATCTCACAGGGACCTCAACGCGGGGCCCTGTGAGTTCCCATCACTGCAGCGCAGGAGCAGGAGAGGTGAGGCCACTGTGTCCACGACACTGCAGTTCAGAGAAGGGGCCAAGGTTTCCAAACTCCAGACGGGATCACATGCCCTGACGACGGAACTCAATACCTTCAGGCCACTGTCTGAGGGATCTGAGAGGCATGGTCACCACGCTTCCAGAACTTTCATGAGGTAACCAGCCAGGCTCGCCTGAAGGGAACGTGATTGCTGAGTTTCGAGGGGTACATGGTGTGCACATGGGAAGGTCGGTGGGGAGGCCGCGGGGAGCTGTCGCGGTGGGGCCCTGCTGACCGAGCGCGGTGGGCCCCGCTCGGAGGGACAGAGGAGTCGCCGAGCGCCGGTGCCGGCCGGCTCGCTCGCTCGCACGCACGCCTTCCCCGGGCACGCCAGGCAGCACCGAGAATGTAAGTGACACCATGCTAAGTGACCAGCTGACAGTCAGGGAAAGATGAGCCCACGGGGCGACCTGTTTCCTTTGGAGGAGGGAAGGCCAGTAACAGCAGCGGTAACTCAAGCAGCCCCGTCCCGGTAAACAGCTCCGGGCCTGACCTCGCCGGCCCCGCCCCCCGCCCTCGGCACCGTGCTCGCTCTGCTCCTCTTGGCTGCGCTTGCTCTTCTCGCGCTCCGTTTCTAAGTCCCTCTCGCCGGAGGGTGTTTCAGGCCCCCACTGAAACCGTGTGCTGGGGCGAGAAGGGACAGGCTTCTCTTAGGGCTCCTTTTTCTCCCCCTCTGTCCTCCCGCCTGCCGGGTGTGGCGGGAGACATGGGAGGGACAGTACGATCTGCCCGGGAGACCACTGCACGATGAACCCCCTGTGCCTGCCGGGGGCCTCAGGCTCCTCGTGTGAAAAAGGTGTGAATGGACGCGAGGGCCTCTAGGCCCTTTCAGGTCCCAGCCGCCTGTGCCACCCACACGTCCGAGCCACGTGCTGACCTGCCAAGGTATGAGCCACCGTAACAGTTGTCACTCCTGAGAGTTTCAAGGCAGGGCCGTCACGCCTAATGATACACAGAGTAGAAGCCCATTACATGCTGGGTTTCTAGACCTAAATTTGATATCCTGGCCAAACACGAAGAAAACATTTTAGAGGAATGCAGTGGCCCAGCAAAAATGCCCTCCCAGGAGCAGAGCCAGGTAACCCTGAACCCATGTGGCCTGGGCTGGGCAATGCCCGGGGAGCAGGCGGGGGCTTGGCAAAGGGACCTGCGTACGAGGTCGGGGCAATGCCATCTGGCTCCTGCCACACACACCACAGGTGCACGCACACAGGTGATTTCTCCTGAGCCTGTCCCTCCCATCAAGGCAGATTGAGAAGGCTCGTAAAGGGTACCACGGGGGAGCCTCTTTTCCCTTGTGAGGTCCCTTGGTGGCCACTGTGGCTGTAGTTTACCTATGGCACATACCTGTGTTGGTGGTCCAGCAATGCTTGGTGGATAAAGGAGTAAACTCAGATGCCTGCTGACTGCTAAGGGAAGAGAAGCTTGTCCCGGCTCCAGGGTGACCCAGGAACATGCCACCCAGTCCGGGAACCAAGAAACACCCCTCCTTTTAAACCTCTACTGTTTTTTCCCACCTGGGGAGCCCCCTATCTTCCTCCCAGGGAAAAGAGTCGTTAGACTGATGGAGCAGCCACATAAACAAGGGACCAGAGCAACAGGGGAAAGAAAGAGGAAAAACGCATCTACTTACCATAGATTCACTAATCAGCAGTAGTAACAGGGCTTCTTCAGTATTTTCTTGAGGACAAAAAATGCTGTATAAAGAAAATCGACTTTGATATACGGCAATTTCAAAATGACACAAAGTACTTGAGCAGAACAAAATGCTACAAGCTTCAATGAGAAGTAGTCTGTGGCCTAAACACTTAAATTAGCTGGCTTATTTCTATGGGACTCTATAGAATGTATACATTCTGACTGTGCATCTTAATACCAGGCAACAGAGTGAAGTAAAACTGTGAAAACCAATTTAAAAGCCCAAATAACATGCATGCTTATGACAGAGGCAGAGATTCAGATTGCTATTAACTGACGCTATCTCAACAATACCAGCTTCCCCCTAAACCTGCTATGGAGGTGGAGGGCGCAGACATTTGGGCCAACAGGACTCTTCTTACTTCTTTCTTGTTAACTGGCACAGCTCACCTTGTGCTTCAGATGAGAGAGTGGAAGCAGTTTCAGAGTTTGAGGAGTTTCTAGAATGCCGTCAGAATGTCCAGAGCTATCTTCCTTGACCGCACGTTTCTTACGGGGTAGCAAGAGCTAGTTGTCGTATTCATCAATTTGATGGAATTTGGCTGAATTCTAGCATTTTGGATTTTTTTTTTAAGCTCAGTGTCGCTCAGGCTTAGAGGACAATAAAAACTAAACACAACCCAAATAGCCATTCTTTATATGCTTTAAGCATTTTAAAACACAGCGGTTTTTCCCTGTTCCGAAGCCGCGGAATCCTTTGAGTCGAGCTGTGTTTTCACCAGTTGGGCCAGACTCAACCCTGTCTCATGCCGTGGGAGAGGAGTGCGATGAAAACGAACCTGCTCGCAGGAGCCTCCTGGACGTTTCGGAGAGGGCTACGTAAACACTGAATTTATGCCTTCCCAGCGGTAATACTGCAATCACTCCATTCAAGAGAGGAAATGATTTCTCCCCAAAATGGCAAAAAAAAAAAGTTTTCCAAATTATTATAAATACTTGCTCTCTTCGAAGTGCTGGCAACTGTGACATTGTATCCAAGGACCATGAAAAGCAAGACAGAAAAAGCCCAGTGCCTGGTGCTCCCTTGACAACTCTGTGACTTCCCCGGAGGAAAGAAAACTGCCTGTGGAGTTCTTCCTGCTGCTCTCCAAGGGCTACAGTCCTAGGAGAAGGCCGACCTGTATGCGAGGAGTCAGACTCTGGAATCAGCAGCAACTTCCTTAAAGAGGCAGCCTGAGCGGATCTGGTTTTGAGAAGGATGGGACACTTCTTTCCCCTTCAATTCACAAACAGAGCCTACAGGCTTTGAATCAATGGTGTGTGCGTGTGCATGTGTGTGTGTATGTGTGAGTGTGCCCACCCAGCCATCATTTCCCAATATCCTGGCTTGTGTGTACATGCAATTGGGACCTTACAAGAAAATAGGACCATTAACCATGTTTTTCATGGCTAGCCAGACCCGCATGGTCCAGACTACTTGAAGAGAGAGAGAGAGAGCGCGCCCATATTCACTGGGATTTAAAACAAGCCAATTCAGTCCATGGATAATCTCCCAATTCCATCAGAGCCATCCAGACTGCTTCAATGCAAAGCTGTGTTATTTTCACCAGAGCTGCTAGCTGGTAGCACATTGATTTTAATTCCACTTCCTCTTCCCCTCCAGGTAAGAGGAGACTCAGGAGCTCTGCGAAGCTCTTGGGGCTGGCAGGGAGAGGTGCGGGTGGGGAGGAGAAGGGGTAGTTTTAAGAGACATGCCTGAAAAAACTACACACTGGCATGCCCCCTCAGTAATCACTGATTCTCTGGATCCATTTCTGGCCATTCCTTCCCTCTTCCCTATTCAGGGGAGTAGGGAGCTCAGGGCTCCAAGTTGAAGTTGGGGACTTCCCTTTTGTGACATTCCCCTCGTGGGGGCCCAAGCACTCAGGTGGGGGCCCAGGGTGCTCAGCCCTCAGCTTTGTGGGGTTGGAAAACTGGGTCCCTGACCCAGAGCAAGCTGAGTGAAGGGCGGGCCGGGGAGGCAAAGGGACAGGGAGAAGACGGGGACCAGCGGGCAGTGAGGACAAGCTCCCGTGAGCGGCACTGGGGGCTGGCGGAGGAGGCGGCAGCGCAGGACGCAGGAAGGGAGGGCTGCAGTCCCATCCCGGCCACGGGGCCAGCTCGAGGGCTGAGCTTCGGGGAAGGTGCTCCTTTTCATACTCTGGATGGACTGACCAGCACGTTTTCTGATGCTACAGAAGACACGGGGAGCCAGGGCGAGGACCGTCATTTATAAACAGCAACCCTGATCTTGCCGAGGCTCTCAGATAGTAACGGCCCTTTCTTAAATTCTTTCCTGACACGTGAGAACATCACTGTAGGTGGTGGAAGCAATAGCACAAACGAAATCAATCCCACTTTTCCCAACCCGCATTTCCTCTCTGTCACCTTTAGCTGTTGTACAGCCAATGACCAGCTGGATGTCCTAAGGTCAAGGGCACCATCCAGGAGTCAAAGCAGACTCTGCCTAGGTGCAAGGAGGGCCTTGAGCACCTCTCACCCACAGGAAAGTCCACTTGTAAATAATGACAACATCAGCTCCAAGGCCCGTGATGGTGTCTTTATCGTTTCAATGAGCCTGGCTAGGCCACCACTAGGGAATTCCCGGAGAAGTGCAGCCTCTGACCCACGGCCAGCCAGACGGGAGCTGAAGGATCAGTGCCGACGAAGGCTGCGGCCCCAGCTCTTCCCCAAGTCGCACTGTTTGTTGAACACGCGCAGGCAGAAAACCTGCCTGCCAGTCCCGGGTCTGTGGGGAAGGACGAGAGTTCCGAGAGAAGGGGAGGGTTCGAACTGAGCGCTGAGAGAGCCTCCGGACTATGAGGGGTGGGCTGGTCCAATCTGAAGAGGACCCAGGCCTGTACATAACTCTCCGCCTTGTTGGTCTGCACATTTGGTCGCAATCCGCCCAAGACAAAGGGAAAAAGGCCCCTGGCTTAGATCAGCCCCCGTCTGCAGAGTTGTGCCATGGCTGGGCTGGACGAATCCTACAGAGCTCTCCGCCTTGCACAGGGGCTTCCGTGCCCCGGCCGAGGGGACAGGCCTCCCCACAAGGACGCGCGCGCGCACGCAGCTGGGCTGTGAGCGCTGGAGCTGACTGAGCAGAGAGTGGCCACCGAGGCATAGCTGGCCATGCACCCAGCTTCGCTCCGCCGTCACGGAGCTCTCCTGACCTGTTGTCCTGCACCTCTGCACTCTGCATGGCGTCTTTGTTCTACCCCAGACCGCTGCACCGGCGACCGGGAGGTTCGCACCCAGAGTTAGCGCTCCACAACCATCGCTTCCTCCTCCTCGGCCCACAGAACGTTTAGCGCTGCTGGCTTTCCATAAATCTTCTCATCATGCGCTTCCTGGCACGAGAGTGGCTTTTAATCACAGTCTTTATTCTGTGCTGATTTTGAAGGCAAACATGCCTTTTATGACCTAAGGCACCTCACATGCTGTTTACGAGGAGGAAGACAAGGAACGGGAAACACGCCTGACGGACACGCACATGCGTGTGCACCAACACACGTGTGCGGACGCTCACAGCACTCTTCCTGCTGGCACCACGTGAGAAACAACTTGAAAGCCCATCACATGTCCACTAGGGCAACACGCTGGACTGTAGTCCTGTGATGGAATACTATGCAGCGACGAAAACAGATTCTTACTACTTGCAAAAATGTAGGCAAATCTCTCAAACATGTTAGACAAAAGAAGTGAAGCAAAAAGTTGTTAACGTATGATTCCGTTTCTACAAATGTCAAAAGTGGGCCAGGCTAACCATCGTGCTGGCAGTCAGGGCCGGGCCTCTGTTGGGTGGGGGTGGGCGGGGTGGGCGTCGGGAGAGGGCGCCGAGAGGGCTCTTGGGGGTCCGGCGACGTCTGCTTCTTGATCCGAATGCTAATCCCATGCATGTGTTTGCTTGGTGAAACTTCATCATATTGTATACTTTTTAAAAGTAATTTATTGATTATGCTATTATAGCTGTCCCATTTTTTTTCTTCCTTTTATTCCCCTCCCACCAGTCTTCCCCAACCCCACCTTAGTTCATGTCCATGGGTTGTACATATACGTTCTTTGGCTTCTCCATTTCCCATACTATTCTTAACCTCCCCCTGTCTATTTTGTACCTATCATTTATGGTTCTTATTCTCTGTACCTTTTCCCCCATTCTTCCCCCTCCCCTCCCCACTGATGACCATCCATGTGGTCTCTATTTCTGTGAATCTGTTTCTGTTCTAGTTGTTTGCTTAGTTCATTTTTATTTTTGGTTGTTTTTTTTTTAGGCTCTGTTGCTGATAGTTGTGAGTTTGTTGTCATTTTACTGTTCATATGTTTGATCATCTTCTTTTTCTTAGATAAGTCTCTTTAATATTTCATATAATGAGGGCTTGGTGATGATGAACTCTTTTAACTTGACCTTATCTGGGAAGCACTTTATCTGCCCTTTCATTCTAAATGATAGCTTTGCTGGATAGAGTAATCTTGGATGTAGGTCCTTGCCTTCCATGACTTGGAATACTTCTTTCCAGCCCCTTCTTGCCTGTGAGGTTTCTTTTGAGAAATCAGCTGATAGTTTTATGGGCACTCCTTTGTGGATAACTGTCTCCTTTCCTCTTGCTGCTTTTAAGATTCTCTTTAATCTTGGGTAATGTAATTATGATGTGCCTTGGTGTGTGCTTCCTTGGGTCCAACTTCTTTGGAACTCTCTGGGGGCTTCCTGGACTTCCTGGAAGTCTATTTCCTTTGTTAGATTGGGGAAGTTCTCCTTTACTGTGTTTTCAGGTAAGTTTTCAATTTCTTGCTCTTCTTCCTCTCCTTCTTGGCACCCCTGTGATTTGGATGTTGGAAAATTTAAAGTTATTCTGGAGGTTCCTAAGCCTCTCCTCATTTTTTTGAATTCCTGTTTCTTCATTCTGTTCTGGTTGAATGTTTACTTCTTCCTTCTGCTCCAAATCACTGATCTGAGTCCTAGTTTCCTTCCCTTCACTGTTGGTTCCCTGTACATTTTGCCTTATTTCACTTTGCACAGCCTTCACTTCTTCCTCCATCTTGCAACTACACTTAGCAATTTCTGTGAGCATCCTGACTACCAGTTGCCATGTTTTATACTTTTGATTTGTGTGTTTTTCTCAAAGTATGTGTCCATGAAAAGCTTACTTAAAAAAATAAGGGAACAAAAGTCCATAACATTTTTCACAGAAAGACCTAGCAGAAAGGAAGTACAGAGACCCACGGCATGTGACTCCTCCCCTCTTTTCTCTCTAGGATGGCCAACATTTCATTTCTTTTCAAGATCCAAGATGGGGAGAGAATGAGCATCCTGTTTCCGGTTCACATCCAGGCACCGGTGACAGGGAGTGGGACTTCCTGGGAGAGCTTGCTCTTCAGTTGTACTCTATTATCACCGATTCTTCTGGGTGGTCGTTGTGGTGTGCTGCAGCTGGAAGGGCCCTGCCCCCTCAGGTCTGCTTTGTACTCGATTGGATTGTTGACAATGGTTATTTGTTTTTGTTTTGCCAGAGAGAACTGACTGACCAGATAGTCCTTCCTGGGGTATACTGAAGCCCCACGCCAGGTATAACCCAACAGGTTTTCTCTCTTTACTAATAAGCCAGAAGTAGGACTGTGAACATGCAAAACTAGAAAGTTAAAAATTGACGGTGATAAAGGGACTTAATGAAATACAGAGTAGATACACACACACAAAAAATCAACACAACCAAAAGTTGGTTCTTCAAAAAGATCCATAAAATGTGACAGACGTTTTTAGCTACAAAGACCTAAAAAGAGAGAGGAGACTCAAATTATAAAATGAGGAATGCAAGAGAGGACTTCACTGCACCAACGTTACAGAAATAGAAAAAATTATAAGGCAATACTGTGCATAATTGTATACCAGCAAATTAGATAATTTAGATGAAATGCGCAAAGTTCTAGAAAGACAAAAACTCCCAGAACTGACCCAAGAAGAAATAGAAAGTCTGAATAGACTTATAACAAGTAAAGAGATTAAAGAAGTAACGAAAATCTTCCCATGAACCAAAGTGCAGGAACAGACAGCTTCACTGGTGAACTCTACCACATTTTAAAAACAATTAATATCAATTCTCCACAAACTCTTTCAAAAAGTAGAAGACAAAGGAATATTCCCCAACTCATTCTGTGAGACCAGTGTTACCCTAATACCAAAACCAGACAAAGACCTCGCAGGAAAACTACAGAGCAATATATTTTGTGAACATTGATGCGAAAGTCCTCAACAATATTAGCAGGTCAAGCCTGGCTTTACATAAAAAAGAGTATGTACCATGACAAGTGGGATTCACCTGAAAACGCAAGGTTGGCTTAACCTCAGAAAATCAATTAATTTAATACATCACATCAAGAGAATAAAGGACAAAACCCACACGAGTATCTCAATAGATGCAGAAAAGGCACTTGATGAACTTAAACACCCTTTCATGATAAAAACAAAACAAAACACTGAGACCAGTAATAGCAGGGACCTCCCTGCACCTGACAAAGGACGTCTAGGAAAACCCACGGCCAACATCCCACTTCGCGGAGAGACCGGCTGCTTTGCCCTCCCTAGGGTACAGCCTGAGGATGTCCGCTCTTGTCACTTGTAGTCAGCACTGTCCTGGAGGTCCCAGTCAGGGCCATTAGGGGGGGAAATGAACTGAAAGGCTTCCAGGTCGGAATGAAAGAAGCAAAACGAATCTCTCTTTGCAGGTGACGTACCGGGAAGACCCCTCCTGAGACCACCTTGGTCTGTTTTTTCCTCACAGCTAATCGAGTCCTGAATTTAAAGCCTAAAATAACCAAGGAGTTCTAAAGAGACATTGCCTTCCAAACACTTGCACATTATTTAATTCTCTCTCCTATAGCTAATTGAGTTTAAAACATTTTTTTTTTTTTTTTTTAAGGAAAAGGGCCAGGGAATTGAAGGAAAGAAAAAAGGTGCACTCTGGCTTACAAAGAGCTTTGCCACTGGCTGCTGAATTACTATGAGGCTGCGGCTCTTCTCGTAAATGGACTGAGAATCCCACAGACCGATAGTGACGGCTGAGATGAGAGCCTTCTCCTACTCCAAAAGGCCCCGCCCCCCAGTGCACAGATTCTTACTGGAAGTGTGAGAAGTGACGAGGTATCTCTCCTAAGTTGGTAAACGAGGTTGTTCCTCTGGCTTCCTTTCAGGGGAAAACAGCACCTTCCCTTGAACTTCTACTTGTCCTTGAATTCTCCCCAAGTCCCCCTCCCACCTCCTGACCCCTACTGATGAGGACATCGACTCTCATACTTCTCTCCTGAGTAGACGCGGGCTTTCCGAGTGAGGGTGTAGGTTTTTGAGTTCGCTCCCTTCCGGAGAGGGTCGTCCAGAGGCGACTGGCACGGCGGGTCCTCCAGGGGGTTCCAGTAGCTCTGCTCGCACATGCCCCGCAGCAGGATCTCCGCCAGCTGCCTCGCGATGGTCTGGGGGCACAGGGTGGGGGCAAAGGCACAGCCGTGAGTGGGGGCCGCCCCGTCCGTTCACTCGCTCACTCACCCACGCACTCACCTGATGAGGGTTTCTCAGTCGTCACTTTGCGCTCTGCGTGCTGCCAAGGCTCACAGTTAGATTTTTTGGATGAAATTATATCAGTTGATGGCAAAAAAAGAAAAAAAGGCGTGATACGCTAAGACGTGAACGATTTTAAAACACAAGTCCGTGCCCTTCGGACGTCACCGTCCTCCGTTGCACTCCGGAACACTAAACGTGTTTGACGCCCGAAACAACTGAAACTTGAATTCAGCTGTTTCCCAGAAGCCCTTATAAATAACAGGTGAGCTGCAAATACTTTCATCACCTCCCAAATGATGTCTGCCAAAGCCCAAACTTGGCCCCAAAAAAGGCCAGGACTCAACCTAGGTGATGTAGTCCCTGAAGAAAACCTCTTTGCTGATGATAAGATGATGTCCAGTGTAGCTTTAGGACACCTTCCTTCATGGAGTGCCACGGGCACCGTCCTACACGGACGGCCCCACTCTGGAACTCGGCACCCGGGAGCCCTGTTCTCGGGGACCCTGGGCCTTGTGCAGCATAGAAGGCCAAGTGGGGAGTGTGGCTGCTGATCAAGAAAGACCTTTTTTTTAAAAAAAAAAAAGATTTTTATTTATTTATTTTTAGAGAGGGAAGGGAGGGAGAAAGAGAGAGAGAGAAACATCAGTGTGCGGTTGCTGGGGGCCATGGCTGCAACCCAGGCATGTGCCCTGGCTGGGAATCAAACCTGCGACACTTTGGTTCGCAGCCCGCACTCAATCCACTGAGCTATGCCAGCCAGGAAAGAAAGACCTTTTTTCAGAGCTGGACGGGCACCGCTTTTCTCCTGAGTTAGATGCAGGCTCCTGTGCTTCTTCAAACCCTGTAACTCCACTGCCCGGGACTGGCCCGTGTGTGATGCCTGGGGGAGGGGTGTGTGGCATCCACCAAGGAGTGTTCTATGGATTGATGCATGTCAGTGCATTTCCAGTGACAAAAAAGAGGAAAGGTAAAACAAAAAGAGAAGGAAGAAAGGAAGGAAGGGAGGGGAAAGGAAAGAAAGGAAGAAAGAGAAAGAAAGAAAAGAAAGAAAGAAAGAAAGAAAGAAAGAAAGAAAGAAAGAAAGAAAGAAAGAAAAGAAAAGAAAAGAAAAGAAAGAGAAAGAAAGAAAGGAAGGAAGGAAGGGAGGGAGGAGGAAGAAAGGGAGGGAGGGAAAAAGAGAGAGAGAGAGAGGAAGGAAGGAAGAAAGGAAGGAAGGAAGGAAGGAAGGACCCCCCATGAAAGCAGAACCCTGCACCTGCACCTCAGGTGGCCGTGGCCGCCCCGCATCGTCCAGAGGTGGCAGAAGGAAACTTTGACCAGCAGGTCCCCCCGGTGAGAGTGCTGTTCTTCTCTGAGAAGCAGCCTTTTTAAACAAATGCGCTCCAGGAGAGAACTTCGCTAGCCTTTCATCCAAGTGAGATCTCTTTCATCCAAGTGAGATCTCTTAAAACAACCCAATCACTAGCTTAGTGGTTCCTGAGGATCTCTGTGTAAAGGCAAATTTTCTTGATTATTCTCAAGTAAGACCCACTGTCTATAAAAATGTGAAATTAAATCACTCCTATCATCCCCAACTGAGCCATCTGTAAAGATCTCACAAGAACACAATTTCCAGGACCTAAACGAGTCCTGAGTTGTCTTCCTGAACCTTCCGTTAGAGCTCCATTTCGATCTCGCTGCAGTCATAGAAGCTAATGACTTCTGCTGCAAGCGTCAACTGGCAGAAATTACCTCCACTCACGAGAGCTGAGGGGAAAAAAGTGTTCAAGGGAAAAATGTTAAAAGTGAAAACCTGAATGAGGACCTTCATTTTCTGGATATGGAGGGATTCTAAAATGATAAAACTTTCTGCCCTGCACAGTTGGTGTGCTTGTCCACTAGCAGACAGCACGTGATCGATGAAATCATTTTCCCTCAGGGCATTAACCTTCCAGAGAGACTCTTCAAATGAGGCTTTGATGTGAGCGCACGTTATAAAGGCATCGCCTCATCAGCACCCCACCGGTTACACAGGATGCTTGCTTGCATTCGTTGAAAGCTGACATGAGGTTCAGGAAGGAAGATTAAATAGGAGAAATTATCAGCGAGACCACCAGTACCTGACATACCTTTTAATTTTTACACTAAGGTTTCATTTAGGTGGCAGTTTAAATGTTTCAAAACTGCTGGTAACTATTAAATGAATTTAGAATTAAAGGAAAGAAAGGAGCAAAGGGGGCCCCAAAGAAGACTCAACATTTTATGTACAAACTTGGTCATGAAATGCACTTTTTGTACGCATCTTAAACTGTAGTGAAATTCACCCGACACGAAGTCCACTGCTTTCATCATGTAAAGTGCACACGCCTACGGCATCTAGCACATTCACACGGTGGGCAATCATTAGCACTGTCTAGTTCCAGAACATGCTCACCACCCCCAAGGGAAGCCCCAACCCCTCTTACGTGGTCACTGCCCATGGCTCGCCCTTCCAGACCCTGGGAACAACTACCCTGCTCTCTGTCTCTGTGGATCTGGCTGTCTGGGGTCTCTTCCTGTAAATGGAACCACACACTGTGTGGCCTTGTGTTTCCGAAGCGCATCCACGCTGCAGCAGGCGTCAGCACCTCCCTCCTCGCCGTGGCCAAGTGCTGCCCGTTGCACAGGTGTGCCACATTCTGCTTATCCGGCCATCGGCTGACGGACACTGGACTGTGTCCGTCTTCTGGCTGCTGCGAACAGTGCGGCCGCGACCGTTCACGCCCAAGTTTTTGTTTGAACGCCTGCTTCCAGTTCTTTGGAGCATTTACCCAGGAGAGAGGCTGCTCTGGGTGTACTTTTAAACCCTTCTCTGCCACAGGCTCACACCAGACTGAGTTGGACAAAGCAACTTTTCCATTGCATAAGAGTATCACAAATTTGCAATTATTGGCCAATTTGAAAAGAATCATATGGTAAGACGACGAAAACACCGTCTGAGAGGAGTGGCGCTCGCTGGAGCAGCTTTCTGGTACCCAGGGGGAGCCCAGAGCCCTGTAAATAAGACCTGGAAAGTGCTTCTCAAGGTGGGTGGGCAGAGGATTGCCGTGGGAACGCCATCAGGTTCCCCAGGGTTGCCCCAGAACGCCCCGGCTGCCCTTTCTGAATCAGGCACAGGGATGCGTGTGTATGCGTGTGTGTGTGTGTGTGTGTGTGCGCGCGCACGTGCTGGGGGTGGGGATGGGGCACAAACGTAGGTTTGCAGCTGTGAGTACCCGAAACACAGTTTATTCTTGTGTAATCATTGATGAACTACTTATCATTTTCTATACACACAACTGTAAACCTACGTTTTTGCCCCATACTGTACGTGTTGAGCACTCCAAGGACTAAAAACGGTGTAACTTAGGTCAGGTGAGGACTGCCACCCCAGATCAAAGGTCTGCTGCCCCCATGGTGGCACCGGCCAGGCACCGGCTGAGAAGGTCCGGGGCGGCCCCAGGCCACCCGGACCGAAGGAGCCTCTTCACTCCAATTCTCAGAAAAAAGAATGAAAATGTCAAAGAAACCTGTCTTCCCTCCTAAGGTGTATCTATTCAGAATCCTACCTTACAGGATTTTTACAAGTGCAAATGCATTGATTTAAAAACCATAAACCTTATCATGAGAGATACTCTCTACTTCTGAAAAATAACACTGGAGAAAGCAGCAGGCAGGTCCCTGCAGTGTCTTCAATACACTCATTCCTTTTAATGAGAAAAAAGCATCCATTTCCTTAATGAATCAGTACATATTTCTGAGTGTCAACAGTATGAACAAGTGATCCGTATTTAAGCAATTTTGAAAGCCTGGCTTTTTCAATCTGCTTTTAAAATAATTATAAGAACATTTGCCAGTACGAGGTCTGTCCAGAAGGTATCCAGCCATGTTCCATGAAAAACAGAGACATTCCCTGAAGAAGAGACAAGGTATAAGAAACACTGTACACAGGACAATGACGCCTCAGTCCCCTTCAAAGTGGGCACCTTGGGACCTCACACAGTTCTCCCAGTCACCATCAGCTGCCCCATGGTATTTTCCTGAATCTCATCAATGGTCTAAAATCTCTTCCCTTTCAAAGGTGATTTTAGTTTTGGGAAAAGCCAGAAGTCACAGGGTGCCAAATCTGGGCTGTAGGGGGGCTGAGTCACCCAGGTGATTTGATGCTTTGTCAAAAAACTCTGCACGAGACGTGATGCGTGAGCAGGCACGTTGTCTGATGAAGCTGCCAATCACCAACTGCCCATAGCTGCAGCCTTCTGAATCATCCAAATAGTTTCCGTGGAGGAATAGTCAAGCTTAATGCAAAATGTAATACAGATTCATTGCTCTACTCCCTCAGTCATTTTGAATGCGACGGCCACACAGTACACATGCTCCCTCAGTGGTGTCTACTGTCCCCACTGACTAGTACAGTGAGGTTGTCATTGTTCATGCGTGTGCATTCCAGTCCGCTTTCCTCAGCTGCCAGGTTACACAGATGGCATGCAGACTGTCACTCATTATATTAACAGTGGCTGGACGTTTTCTGGACAGACCTCGTACCATCAGTTACTTACATTGTGCTTCCAGCGCTTGGAAGACGCTGTTCTTACTGAGCAGTTGAAAAGTTGTACGGAATGTTGGAAGTAGATCAATTTCAGGAAAAAGGCAACAATTTTTATCCATATTTTGCAAGATATGGATAAGAATTTCAATTTGTTTGAACTTCTTAAGGCCCCTATAAATCACATCAAAATGTAAATAAATACTGAAGACCAAGTGGGCTGTGTGTGTGTGTGTGTGTGTGTGTGTGTGTTGTGTGTGAAATCCATCTTCTCTCACCACCCTTCCCCATATTCCAGGAAAGCCTGTGGCTCAGCCATCTGGCCCCGAGTCGTACGTCTGCAATTAAAACTCCGGACGCGCCAGAAGGCAGGTACAGCCTCGTGTTCCGTGACAAGCGCTTGCCTTGCCCAACCGCACGCTGCCCCACAGCACTCAAAGGACCCATGAGAAAGGGAGGGCCACGGCAGCAATGACAAGAGACACCGCAGTCTTACATGGGGCGGCTGCATCAACGGTGGAAGGTGGCTCTGCCTGCTCCCAGCCAGCACCAGGCCTTCACCCACACGTGCACGCGCTGGCTGTGGCTCTGAAGGGCCAGCTAGGAAGACGTGATTAAGGAATGCCCCGCCCCCCCCAGAAGGGAAAGGGAAAGGGAAAGGCTTAGAGGGGAAGAGGGAGAACTCAGCTCAACAGGAGAGCCAAGCTGATGATCAACTAGTTTATTTAACTGGATTTTATATTTCCCTCCTAAGTTTCACAGTGAGTACCATTAGTTGGACAACGAGGCACTGCCCAGGGTCTGGTCTGCTTTGCTCTGTTTGGGTGTGTATGACTCATCCGGGAGGGCTTACATTCCAGCCCCCTCACAGGACTCATTTCCGGTAGTTCTGTGGAGAGCACCACTGAGCGGCAACTGCGAAGATGCCCAGCATCGGCAGCCATCAGGGGAAGGTAAACCAAAACCACGATCAGACCTCACACCCACTAGGATGGCTACCGCTGAAAAGGCAGATAATAACAAATGCTGTCAAGGATGAGAAAAAACTGCATCTTTGTAACTTCTGGTGAGAATGTAAAATGGTGCAACGGCTGTGGAAAGCAGTCTGGCGATCCCTCCAAACGTTAAAAACAGAGTTACTGTAGGACCCAGCGGTCCCACTCCTGGGTGCACGCCCAGGAACAGTGAACGCACGAATCCACGTAAGGGCTTGTGCAAGGATGTTCACAATGCTTGTGTAAGCATTATTCGTAATAGCCAAAAAGTGGAACAACCCAAGTGTCCGCCAGCTAATGAATAGATAAGTGAAATGTGTTACATCCATACAATGGAATATTATTAGGTAGTAATAAAAGTGAGAGAAATACTGGTACAGGCTACAACATGGATGAACCTCAAAAACATAATCCAAAGTAAAGGAAGCCAGTCACAAAAGGAACACATATGGTCTAATTCCATGTACAGGAAACATCCCAAACAGGCAGATCCATAGAGACAGAAAGTAGATCAATGATTGCCGGGGGCTGGGTATGGGGGGAATGAAGACTGAGTACTAATGGGTGTGGAGTTTTTTTTCAGGGTGACAACATGTTTTGAATTAAATGCTAGTGATGGCTGAACAAACCGGTACATGAACTAAAAAACCCTGACTGCATATGGGTGAATTGTATGGTATTTAAACTATATCTTTTTTAAAAGATCTTGTTTATTTATTTTTAGAGAGGGGAAGGGAGAAGGAGAGGGAAACATCAATGCATGGTTGCCTCTTGTGCGCCCCCTACTGGGGACCTGGCCTGCAACCCAGGCATGTGCCTTGATTGGGAATCAAACCAGCGACCCTTTGGTTTGCAGGCCAGCACTCAATCCACTGAGCCACACCAGCCAGGGCTGTAAACTTTATCTAAATAATATACATGAGAGAGAGACTGAGAAAGAGAAAGAGAAAGAACACTTCCTCAATCGAATCATTAATCACACTTACCATCCGCAGGTTTTGGGTGGTCCTCGTTTCGACCGCTCTGAGGAGCTCTCTGAATCTCCCGACCCCTCTCGTCAGGTTCCTGCGTGCACACAGAATTGACAGGGTTTCCATCTGCTGCACATTCGTATCAAATATTTTGTACACATAGCTCCATGCATTTTGTCTACATAAAAGCTGTTGGCCAGATTTTAAGCAAACAATTATTCTGAATGCATCTGTCCGTCTTTGTTCAAATCTGAAAAATTTGACCTGGGGCTGATGGATCTTTCTGCTTCCACAACCAAATTTTCTCAAGAAAACAAAAGTTGGAAACTCAATTCTGAGGTCCCCCGCTCTGGCCCCCAAAGCAAGATATCGTGCAAGAGTCTAGCTTCGCCCCTACAGTGGCTTAGGAGTCTTCCTGCTCTGCTCAGTGGCGCCGAATCTGTCTTTTCTGGCCAAAGGGGAAGAGGAATATCCACAAGGCACTGCATGCAACGTGGGGAAAGGCCTCTTGTGACGTGTAACTTTTATGGGCAGGACGGAGATCAAAGGCGTGAAAAGTGAGGGGCTCCACCAAGCAACCCTCCCATCTTTGAGACCACAAATCACCGCCCCACAAATCCACCAATCCACCCCTCCCCACCCACCCCAGCCCTGCAGAGAAGCAAGGGTCGAAGGTCCCTTCTGCCAGCAACTGTACGAACACGGAACCTGAGCTGCCCGGCTGTGCTCGGGACACCTCTCATCTTGCTGCCCCGCCCACCCCACAGAGACGTGTTTGCTGACACATCTCGCTCAGGGACAGGTGACTCTCTGGTAACATCCTGGTCAACACACCCAGGCCCCGCTTGTCCTCCCCGAAAGCCAGCGGCTCAGCCGGCGGGCGGCACTTCCGCGCCGGCCCCTGTACATCAAGCGCTGCCACCACCTATGACATAACTCGAGGATATTTATAACCTGCTCATTAGAACACAGCTCATCTTTCCCGAGCGCCGCGGAGCGGGTCAGCCGGTGCAAACCTGTCAGCCAGCCCTGCAGGCTGTGGCAGGTGCTCTAGGCATTTGGCTCTCTTCTTGGATGACATTTTAAGTTGCACAAAGGTATTAAATCAAACTGAATGCGGGTTCTGTATGTTACAAACACTCGCAAGGGCTATTAATTCGTCTCTTATGCCGGCACGACATCCCGGAGCGCTCATTCACAAGAACAGCCCCAGAACCTAGGTAAGCGTTTATTGGCACAGGTACACAAGTACTCCCCTATTCCTCTCACCCACACGTATCAGGTGGTGGCAGATCAGAGAGCTTTACGACCGGCATAAAAAGAGAAGCTTGTGCTCAGGACACCAGGCAGCGCTAAAGGAAATCTAACAGCGACGTGAATAAAAATTAGGGAACAGGCCGTGGGACATGCAATCTGCTTTGCTTTTCCCTTCACTGGTTTTTATGGGACCCGGTTCTCAGGCAACAAAGCACATTTGCTCTGGATGGAGGCTCGGTGCTCTTAAGCAGCGAGGGGGGAAGGAAGCAGTGACAGCTAACAAATGGATGGCAGGACGGAGCGGTCTAATTTTGTTCCGGAGTCACAGACTGAGCTCCCTCGATGTGTGGTGTGCGGCAGGAACGGCACTCCGACCTGTACGACACGGGTGGGGTGGAGGCGGCGTGACCGGAGAGGCCCAGGTTTCAAGGGATGGAAGCTGGGGTTTGAACGGGCAGTTTCAAATCTAAATCCTGCGGCTCAAGGGGCGGGGGGGGCTCCAAGATAGGATGTGGCCATTCAGAAAGTGCCCTCCTTGCGGAAGGAGTTACTAATCCAGGTGCAGAAGCACAGAATATTCTAGCTGTAAACGACCTAACACAGGCCAGCGCTTGGGGCACAGAAGTGACACGGCTTGCTCAGGTTCCCAGACCGAGCAAGAGGGCGAGCCGGGAGCTCCGTCACCTTCCTGGGCAAAAGAAATGTAAGTTCCCAAGCGGAAGTGCAGCTCTAGGAGAAAGAACAAGACAGGAACGCAAGGGCGCAGGTCTCTGTTCTGTATCATTAATATGCAAATTACTTAATATATACACATAGTACAAATTGCATGCATTCCAGTGATCACAGTTAATGAGAAACTCCTAGGAATGAGCTCACAACTAGAAAAGAAAATCCGCTGGCCCAGGTAAAGCGGTCCAGTGTCCGAGCCTAATGCCTCTGCTACCTTAAAGAGAAACGACAGAAGAATTCACCTCCCCTCAAAGGCGCCGGGCGGCTTCTCCCGTGCAGGACCGGGGCCCTCTGGTGGACGACGGGGGGAAGTCTCCGGGACAGAAGGGATGCCCACACATCCGAACGCAAAGCCAGCCGCAACTGAGGGCGTATTCCCAAAGCAACGACATTACCTTGGAAGCAGATACAAGTTTTTCCTCGAACCATTTCTAGTTTATTTCTGGAGAGAGTTAGCATTCAGAATCAAATTCCCCCACAAACTGGGAGGCACCGTGCTTGTAAACAAAGGGTCCCCAGTAACCGAGAAGGCCTGTCTCGGCAGACCGGGCGCCAGGCTGGTCACAGGGCCCGTGGGGACGGCCGCAGGGCTGGCTGTCCAACCACATATCCATGTGACAGCGGGAGGAAGGAGGAACTGAAGGTGAAACACTGTGCATTTTAAATATGTGAAAAATGAAGAGTATCCCCAACACAAAAACATACAAGTCTCATCGACACCTACACCATTCACACATTTTTTAGACACATAATTTTATTTAACCAAGCACTTTCACTGTTGACGGCAGCATAAAAAACTTTTTAAAATCTGGATGGAGTGTCATGATAGAAAGGAACAGAAAGGGAAATTAACTTGCAAGAATTGCATTCTAAATGCTATGAAATAACCCAGTTTGAGGGGAATAAACAAAAGCCATGCAACTGCTTTCATGTCTCGGAACTATTAGTTTATTCTGAAAATCCTGAGATCTATCAACTATCTGGAAGGAACTGTTGCTTAAAATGCCCCCTCCGAAACGAAGATAAGAGAGCCGCGGGGTCTCCCGGGTTTTGAGGGTTTCCAAGGACCCTTGACATGAGGTCGTTTATTCCATTTCATCGCCCCTGGCAGAGTGGCATGATGTCAGCATTCATTGCGGTAAACTGTTCTCAGAATGAGCAGCGGGTGCTTGGGCAAGCTGTCAGAACTCGGGGTTCACCTCCTGCCCCTTGCTTCGGCCAGCTTCCTGAGCTGGGTGCATGTCTGTCCGCGCCGAACGGTTCCCAAACAGCTCAGCCGTGACCGAGGAGAAATGGCCAGCCAGTCCCTGAGCACCAGCCGGCCGTTCAACCTGACAACCAGGTGAAATCCCGCTTCCCCCGTCCGTCCGACATGGCTGCCTGCCCCCGTCCCAGCAGGGAGCGCTCAGGCCAGGGTCCCTGCCTTGCTCTGCGCGGACCCAGGCAACCCGCTGCCGCTGCGTCTCCGGCAGGAACGCCCACTCACTCGCCACGGCAGCACATCCTTCTTCCCCCTCGACCCACCTCCACTCTGTCTTCGCTCCTCCCTCTCCCGCCAGGTTTCATCCGCCTCCTTCTGTATCTCTCCCTCCCAGGGCTGGTCTGCTGGCCCTGAGGCCAGTGCGAAAGCACGACTTCCCGTGGACCTGGGAGGACACCACTCGCCAGCACTCGCCAGCACGCAGCTGGCCTCTGGCCCCCTGGACCCTGCCATTCACACTCTACGTACAAGCCCACGGAGGGGCCTGGCTCTGTCCCACGACTCTGAACCATGGCCTCAGCTCCCGAACACTCTCCCCCGGGCTCCTGTGCCGGCACGCCAAGGGGGAAGTGCACGTGGGAAGGAAGCCAGAGCTCCCAGATCCGACGCGAAGTGGCGAACTCAGAGACCGAGAACCCGGGCACCTCCCGATGGGTGGCGGCTTCAACGGCCAGCTCCAGACAGAGTTTTGCGCTTTCTCATTTTGTTTCTTGGGAGTATGGTGGGAAAATGCAATTCTTCCCCTTAACTTATCCTTCCGGGGTATCTCTGGCCTCAGACGTTGGCCCAGGCCAGCAGTGCATTTCAGGATCAGCTGTCACTGGTATGCAGACTCAGCGTTCTGAAGCGAGTAAAATACTTTTTGTGCTGGATGTCTTCTCCCCAGGTAGTAAGAAAAAAGTACCCTCAGAGTATGTTCAGTACTTTTTCCCCTTCTCTGTGATGGAGAACTTTATAACTGAAGGTCAATGACAGAACACGTCAACACAATAGGTCTCTTGGAGCGAAGAAATCCTCTGGCTTTTTGCATGATTATGGTATCAAGTCCCGGGCCTGCCCCCGAGGAGACCCTGGTGAACCAAGGCCGCCACCCTTGCCTCAGGGGGCTCAGATGGTCTCACGTCCCCCGCAAGGACATAAGTGCCCCGAGGACCACGCTCCTCGTTTCGCTCACTGGCGTGTCCCAAGTCCCTCAGACAGAGGCTGGCACACGGAGAGGACCCCGTCGGCATTCATGCAGTGAGTGACATTCAGAACTACTTAGGAGCACGGGAACCAAGAGCACAAGGGGATGCATTTCTCACCTGTTCTCGTCCCCTCCTCTCTCGCTACATGTGACTGGCAGGCAGTCCAGCCAAGCACCCGCTGAAACGGAATACAGCTCCTGTGTCCTCGGTGGCTTTGCAGCACGGGTGCCACCTGTACCAGGTGACGGCGGCCCTGGGCTGGCCGGGCCCGACAGCTCCCAGGCAGCCACGTGGATAACGAGGATTGTCCAGACGTCTCAGGGGAGCATTTCAGGGGAAGTTTCCAAAGGAACTTGAAGCCATCCTTCGAGACCGGGGTCAAAGGCTACCCTCGGGAACCCTTCCCAGCTTCCCCAGGAAGACGGAGACACTCGTCCCGCCTGCTGCCCACCCGTCTGCCTGGACTCGGAGCCCACGGGGCCCTCAACACACTGAGTTCTGTGTTGGCGTCTGTCCTCCCACCGAACCGTGACCCTCCCGGGAGCACGGGCCCGCTCTGCACCCGCCCCTCCACGCCCCAACCGCCTCACAGAGCCAGCCAGGCACCCGGCGACACTTGGTAAGCTGTGCACCAGCCCCCAAAAGAAGAGAGTGAGCCCA